AATTCAGGCTGAATGAGACCGTTAACCAATGCCTACAGAGTACAGTACTGTCACTTAACTCCAAATGGTTCGACTACGAGTAGTCCCTCTTTCGCTTAGTCTGTCGAGTGAGACAAACGTTACAACAGTTTACAACAAAGAAAGAGTGAAACTGGAAAAAATATTTTGCCAACATGGCAAACCACATAACATTTGAAGGCCGAATAAGATAAAATAAAGCGAAACAACGGAATGCTACAGCTATGGTTGGCTACCGCAGTATAGTACCTGATTCCAGCGAGTGACTTATTCTGCTTAGGACGGTCTGTTCATTGTCTCAGACGCATTACAGCCAATCCGATGTCAGTGATTCTGGAGAGCTTTGAATCTTTAGAACTTTAACTCGGTTCGAGTAAGATCGAAGGTGAATTACAAAGAAAATGACCTGAAGGGATAGAAAAATCACTTCGAGTTAGCGGAGGTTCGAATTACCGAGGAATCGAGCTGCAGAGGGTAAAACTACAGTAAATGTTAAAAAAAATCTAGGAGAATTCTAGTTTGGCTCGAGGTATTTGTATTTTGTATTTGTAGTTTTTATTTCTCCACTTGACGATATGAACACAGTATTGTTAAAAATAAGGTGCAGTGAAAGGGCAAAATATAGTAAACTAATAGGCCATTTTCGAGTTCCCTTTGCCTCTATGTCAAAACGTGCGAAATGTCGTGCGAAACCACTGTTATGAAAATACGTTTCATCTGTAAGTTTATTTTCATGCAAATCGGACTCGTTTTCATAGTTTTGCACGAGGACTCGTTTTGAAACCGAGGCAAAAGGCAACTCGGAAATGACGTATATGCCCTCAAGAGATTCTCTTGATGCCCTTGAACTAAAGACATTTATTTTAGGATAAAAAGAAAACTGGTATAAGGCAGGAAAGAGTAAACACATAGTAACTAAAAAGTTTATATTGGACTTATTAATACAATATACGGAGCAATATAAAACTGGTAAAGTGCTTTTTTAAATAGTTTTCTAGTCCGCTTTCTGTATTACATACCACCGGTACAGTCAGCGCGCGATCAGAGAACGTTCTTGGTCATCCGAAGTTGCAACTATCGAGGGTCGAATGTTAAACTGAAGAAAAGGAAGTAACTGACAGGTTTTTGTCGTTTTTTTAGCTGATATGGGAAGAAGTGACTAGCTTTTATTCCGAGACAATTAAAATTTACAGGTATTTTTACTTTTGTGAGATTGGTACTAGTTATTGGGTCGAGTGAAGTGCAGTTTACGGAGTAATCACGCGATTAATAATGGTAATAGGACAGAGTGGAGTCCAATTCGGTCTGCAAGCATACGAGTGATAAACAAAATCGGATCACCGCGAAGAGGGAGTCCGATTTGTTACCAATTGTTGTATCGATCCATACTCTTTATTTTGATCCTTTGATAGATTCCGAGATATGACAATGTTGTTCTAAGAGTTAATTCCGTGTTCCGATAGATATTTTCCGTAATACAGAGATAGATCAATGTCCACGCTRGACTCCTTTCCGTTCTCTYCGATTCCTTTTYTTGCACACGTTTTTCAAGTGTCAATCACGAGACTCGACTCAGACCTCGCAGGTCAAACCAGCTCCAGTCCCTAACTTATTTACAACACACTCCCCCCTGATTGACTGAGTCAATCATAAGTTGAGACAAAATTTTAACTACAACTCGTAATGTCAGTTCAGTGTTCAAGTCGGTTCAGACAGTTTATGCAACAGTAACTATTGGGATGTCTTCATCCCGGACCATCTGAATGTTCCATCCGCTGTTCGGCTGTACAGCTTCCGCATTAGCTATGACTTTATCAAGTTCATTGATTTCAAGAGGGTAGAGCTTCTTAATAGGACGTTTCAGAAGAGTTTTGTTGAGAAACTTGTCCACTGTCACCACTTCTGCTGCGCGCGCGACGTTGTCTCGTCACCACAATAGTTTCTCTACTTTCCCTTTCTTCAATCTCTGAATGACTCTTCTTGATGTGAAGCTAATATTGTGTCTTTGATGTTTGTGAATGTTGTGTGAGGAAATCTGATGAAGTTGTGTCCGTTTCTCGCAGACCATCCCACCTATCGCTAAGAGTTCGTCCCAGTCTCCCCCGCACGAACATGAATTGCATCCTTTGCCAAGGAGGACTCACAACTGACGTCATCACACTCGAACTCAGGCCCCAACTCGCCCCGGAACACAGCGGTGGGACAGGTAAGCAGAACAAACCATCGAATATTGTTTTGCTGCTAACATACATGTATGATACTCTATTAGTAACAAATATCTTAAATCAAGACCAAGCAACGGAGAGAACATTTATCTTCAGTCAGTGAGAGTAACTATTGAGAACTTGAAGAGTTTGTTTAAGGTGAAATGTTCACGGCATCTTTTCTCGCCCAGAACGAGATAATTTTGGTCTTGACTTACTGTTGGTTTTTAGAATTTTGTTACTTTTATACTCTGTATAATAATATTTGGATAGGTGTCCAAATCAACATTTATTTTAATAATTTGAACAGTTCCGAGCGCTATTTAATTAACAAGTAATACGCTTACAGACCAGTCCAATTTGGACTTCACTGAATTCCAGATATTCCTCAGATTGCCAAAGTGGACTGGTTCTTCGACCAGGTCTGATTTTGAATCTCCTCAGAATTCTCTTTCTCGAATTATTTCCGAATTGGACTGCTCGTTGTCCTGTAACATATTTGTTTCTTTGAATGATGCATTTCTGTGAGTGTCCCTCCACATTTTAAGTGTCATTTTGTTTTGTTTTGGTTTTTACCTTGCAAACAGGCAGCGGAGGAAACCTCCAGGGAACTAAGACAGAGTCCGCGAGAGGCACAGTCACACAATACATCCCCGAGAACACGGATTAGACACATAGTGAAACTTCACAGCTCCGAATCACCACCCGCTCCAATCCCCTCACCATCTCCTCCTCAGAATGAGAATCAGAAAGCGTTACAGAAACAGCAAAGAATCCGAGAGGTAGTAGCACTGAGCGTATCACAAAACAATAGATGATGCCTTTTTTGAGAAATTGGCGCACTTTACGTAAAAAATATCTGATGCATTCGCGCCATCTCTTAGCACTCATTGATAGCTTGCGTAGAAGCTTACGATGTCGTTATTTCAGTATTTCGTTTTAATATTTTGTTTTGTGTCACTTCATTTTATTTTTAGTTGGGGAATAAAGGCTTGAATGAGTACACTTCATTTTTTAAACTAGATCTTGCCTAGACTTTAAACTACAGAAAATAAGATGAAATTAGCTTATACAGTTCTATGTTGTCTTTATTTGTATTGTTGTTGGTTGCGGGAAGATTGGACGCGAGTTTTCCTGTCTGCGCAGGGTGTAATGGGAATAGGCGTGGTCTCCTTGTCTGTTTTTTTGTTCAGCAAGGGAAGTTGACGATTTTTGGTCAGAAGTAGTGCCGGAGACAATCAAATGAAAGAATTACAGAAAAAAGTATTTTCTGACCTCAGGTTTGATATTTTTGTTTGCTTGTCACAGGACGTTCAGACAAAGTTGTTTACTCCAGCGGCCCCGAGGCCATCCCCTGACGGAGGCGGAGAAAACGACGAAATTGATCCGGGTGGAACTGGGCGTACTACGGTAGGATAAATATGGTTTTCTAAGAAAAAACAAACCTCTTTCCCCCTGTTCTGTGATCCAAACTTGTGTCAGGCCACATTGGCTGAACCTATCAGTGAAGCTTACAAGAATCACCATACCCCTATGATTATATGACACTGATACTTCTTTTTTGTGAACGATGAAAGGAAGATTTCGTGAATTCTTATCTTAGATTAAAAAAGAAAAAAAGAAAAATATTATCTCTCTTTGAAAATAAAGCTTAATTTTGACGTAATGCGCTGTGAGTTTTGCAATACGTATTTTGAATGCGTCCTAACTTGCTTTATTTTACATGAGATGTATCTTATATGTTAACATTTCTGGAATTCGAACTTGGAACCCTTCCACTAGAGAGATCAGTTCCCGCACTACTATAACACCGTCCTGATTGTATTACTGTCAAGCCTGCAATTTTTAAGCGTCGTATAGGGCTAGCCTTAACAACAACTGAATGCTAATCGTTTTGATTCCCACTGGTCAGTTCATTCTTTAACAAGTTACACTTGCAAGTACTCAATAAATACTTAACCCTTAAACGTAGGTTTCTGTCAAACCGGAGTGCTATTCTGCCCAGCTTGTGAATTTGTGCGCGAATGTTTTGAGCGTTTCTTAATGAGTAATGTTCCCTTTAATTTCTCATTATCTTCCTCAAGGGTCAAGGAGCTCTCCCTCACACAGAGCA